CTTGAATCTAGAGATTTGGTTCTTAGTATTATGAGCTTTTTAACATCTTGTTAAGAAGGAGAAAAGCTCTTTTCCTCCCCTGCTTTGCTTCCAAAGTCAGGCCCAATCAAGGAGAGGAGTGAAGAAGAAGCATTATTGTTCTACTAGACCACGTATAAAATGTCACGTCGCTGGGCTGAACAAAAAGGACCTGCCTTGTCTGCTTCCCCTCTTTCTTTCTTTCTTTCTTTCTTTCTTTCTTCCTTTAAGATTAAAGCAAATAGAAGAGAACCAAATGGATGGTTAAGGGTCTATAACACTCCTTCAAAGGAGGAAAATTGGGGTGTGGTTGAGGCTGTTGTGGGGAATGTGATAGATAATGGAATAGATTTGTGTCTCGTCCTTGGGGTTTACTCAGTACTATAAGTCCCCGTGATTACGGAATTATACTCGACTTTTTGTGTGCATTTGGATGCTTGAAATTTTGTACCATAGTCTAAGTCCACGGCTAATAAATAGTCTACTTTAGCTTGATACGTATCACTATCAGCTTCATGAGTTTTAAAATGCGTCTATTAGAAAGATCTTTCTATGCACTTATAAGAAATGTTTGGGGTTTACTTAGTACTATAATTCACTGTGATTACGGAATTACACTCTACGGAATTACACTCTACTACTTGTGTGCAATGTTTGAAATTTTGTATTTCAGCCTAAGCCCACGGCCAGTAGGTAGTTCACTTTAGCTTGTTACGTATCGCTATCAGTCTCATGATTTTTAAAATGCGTGTCTATTAGGGTGATGTTTCTACACACTTATAAGGAATGTTTCGTTTCTCTCTCCAACTAATATGTGATCTCACAATTCATCTTCCTTGGGTGTGTCCAACGTCCTTCATGGCACATCAAGGAGAGGGTAGATTGTGAGATCTTCATCTTCCTTGGGTGTGCCCAACGTCCTTCCTGGCACATCAAGGAGATGGTAGATTGTGAGATCTCACATTGGTTGGAGAGGGGAACGAAACGTTCCTTTGAAGAAAATAGTATAGAAGCTTCTCCCTAGTAGACACGCTTTAAAACCGTGAGGGTGAGGCAATGTATAACGTGCCAAAGCGAACAATATCTGCTAGCAGTGAGCCGATGATATGTAACAGGCTAAAGTAAACAATATCTACTAGTGATGGACTTAAGTTTGTCATGGTGTACGTTTTCATATGGTTGCATTTAGTTTTTACCTCTTTTCTCCTCTGAAGCTTTATCATCTCATGCCGTTTCAATTCAATGATTGATATCTCAATAAATCTCCTTCCATCTTTGGTAAATGACGCTTATTAATTTATTATTATCATAAAGTAAGATCATGCGTTTTGTCGTTGTCTGTGTTCGAACTTTCGAACTTTTAAGATTCATATCTTAGGGTAAATTTTTTATAATATTATTTAATTTAAAATACATATTTTAATTTTTTAAAATAAAATAGAATATTTAATAACATTTAATGTCGCTTTTCAATAATTTTAACTATTTTGTATCATAGAATTATAATTAGCTGCGTTGAACAGAAGAGAGAGGTACGCAGTTCATTAGTTTACAAGTTCTCCTCCCTCTACAATCCTTGTCACCGACACCTGTACGTGCCCTTAGTTGGAATTGAAACTTCTTCCCTCTCTCTCATACAGTAACTAAGGGGTTACTTACTGCCTCAGTCACCTCAGTAATAAAAGAGAAAAAGCAAAGTAGCCAGTAAATTTCAAGCACCTCGGTTACTTTGTTCTTGTTATTGTTATCTTTTTTTATTTAAAAGGAAAAACTAAATATATTAGTTGTGTCATTCTATCCCGTCTTTGCGTCTTGCCATTTGAGCATCCGTTTTTAACCCTCGTTCATACGATTATTGGGTTTTTACCCTTCCCCCCCCCCCTCAAATTTTGCTGCTTATTGCTTGCATTCAAGCTCTGGTTAGGTGGGTACAAAGCTCCCCCTTCTCTCCCCCTTCTGTTTGGCCGATTAAGCTCTGGTTAGGTGAGCTTTCTTCTCTTTTCTCCACTTGGGTAGCTTCGTTTTTAGATTTAAATTATGGGTTTTGTGTTCTGAATCGTTTAGTGATGTCCTCTGATTTCTGGGTTTTGTTTGTTCTTCAGTTATGATCTGTATGTATGCTTGTTCTTGTATTGATTTTATGGCGTTGAATTGATTTTAGGTCTGGAAATTTATGCTTTAGATTGTTGAATATCTTGTGGGTTTCTGTTTAATTTGGATCTTAAGTATACCCTTTTCCCCCTTGGCGATTTCTCAAGTTTCTGATGTGTTTGTTTGATGCCTTATGCATCAATGAACTGATTAATTGACTTTTGATATGTGATATCTCAAGCGGAGTAGAGATGGCTGAGGGAAGCGATTTCAGGCACTGGGATGAGCTTATACCGGACGCTTTGGGGCTAATCTTTAGTAAACTTTCACTCCAAGAGAAACTCACTGTGATCCCCATGGTCTGCAAATCATGGGCCAAAGCAGTGATGGGACCTTACTGCTGGCAGGAGCTTGACATTGAAGAATGGAGTAGTCGAAGGCAGCTCGACGACGTCGATCGAATGCTTCAAATTCTGATTAATCGAAGTGGCGGGTCGCTTCGTAAGCTCTGCGTTTCTGGTCTTCATAACACCCGCATTTTCTTCTCCATTGCTGATCAGTAAGGATTTTAATTGATATGTTAACTGTTGAGCATTGTTGGGAGGGAGTCCGAGTTCGCTAAGGGAATGATCATGGGTTTATAAATAAGGAACACATCTCCATTGGTATGATGCCTTTCGGGGAAGTCCAAAGCAAAGCCACGAGAGCTTATGCTCAAAGTGGTAATATCATACCATTGTGGAGAGTCGTTATTCCTAACATGGTATAGAGCCATGCCCTTAATTTAGCCATGTCAATAGAATCCTCAAGTGTTGAACAAAGAAATTGTTAGCTTCGAAGGTGTAGTCAAAAGTAACTCATGTGTCGAACAAAGGGTGTACTTTGTTCGAGAGCTCCAAAGAAAGGAGTTGAGCCTCGATTTAGGGGGGCTGTTCGTGGGCTACATAGACCTCAGGGGAGGCTCTATGGTGTACTTTGAGTCTCACATTGGCTAATTTAGGGAATGATCATGGGTTTATAAATAAGGAATACATCTCCATTGGTATGGCTTTGAGCCACGAGAGCTTATGCTTAAAGTGGACAATATCATACCACTGTGGAGAGTCGTTATTCCTAACATTTGTGGATTTTGTGTTAATTGTGATGATGTTTTGTTTTATATTGTCTTTTCAAGTGCTGGTTCGCTTCGAACGTTGCGGCTGCCACGGAGCAATATAAGCGACGGTGTAGCGGAACAAATTGCTGGAAGGCTCTGTGCTGTTACATTTTTGGATCTAAGCTATTGTGATGAAATCAGTGCTTGTGGTTTAGAGTTCATTGGAAAGAATTGCAAAGCTTTAGTTGGAATGTGTAGGAACTTGCATCCGCTGCATACTGCGGGTTTGCTTGCCCCGGACGATGAAGCTCGTGCTATTGCAGCCACAATGCCGAAACTCAACCACCTCGAAATGGCTTATCATACTCTAAGTACTAAAAGTTTAATGACGATACTGTCGAGCTGCCCCGACCTCGAGTTTCTCGATTTGAGAGGGTGTTGGGATATAAGGCTGGAAGATAAGCTTGTTGCAGAGAAGTTCCCAAAACTTAGGGTGTTGGGGCCTCTCGTTAGGGACGTGTACGAGAGAAACGAATGGGATGAATTCTCGGACTACTCGTACGTATCAGACGACTTGGCATGGGACCTTTCTGCTGATTACTTCGACGATGGTTGTAGTTACGACGATCCGTGGGACGATGAAGGCAGGCTAGAGGGATTAGAGTTGAGATTTTATGAAGGAATAGATGATGATAATGGAGTCTTTGGTTGGCCTCCCTCCCCTTAGCTATGGAAACTATAATGTTTTTGGGTTTGTGAAACTGTTTGCTTTTTTTTCTTTGTTCGTTCGCCGTCCTACTCGGTATCGACTCGATGCTCGTGGAACTTATGTGGATTTGTAAATTCTCTAATAGAAATTGAAGTGTGAGCTTCTTTTTGATGAATTCTAAGGCTTCTCGAGTCTGCCATGTATGTCTGCTCCCTTCAAATATTGTCCTATATGAGCTTTTTCGCATATGTTAGGGAGAGGTTTTCACACTTTTATAGAAAATGCTTTGTTCATTTGTAACTGTCTAAGATCACTGCTAGCAGACATGGTAGGCTTTTCCTGTTTGGCTCTGATACCATTTGTAATACTAGCAAATATCGTCATTTTTAGGCTTTCCCTTATACCACTTGTAACCGTCTAAGCTCATTGCTAGCTGATATTGTCCACTTTGGACTTTTTCTTTTGGACTTTCCCTCAAAATTTTTAAAAATAATAATAATAATAAAAAAATTGTTAAGTGGGTAGGGAGAATTACGAAAAGGAAGGGAATGTGTGTGTATGATTTGTAAGTTTGTGAGAATATTAATAAAAAATTAAAGGGTGTCACGTGGTGGCACGTGAGACCCATCCTTGGGATCTCAACGCCAACCTCCCTCGGTTGTGGAGTTTGCACGTGTCGAAGTCTTCATTTTTATCATTTTAAAAATCATCCCACGGTCCATTCACGAGAAGTCTTAGTGGACTGAAAATGGGCTGTACGGATGGGCTCAGAAGAGGTTGATGGGCCAAAGACTGGCCGAACTTAGGCCCATATTAGGCCCATCGGCCCAAATAACATCTCACGAAAAAGAGCCAACTTTTTCATTACATTAAAGAAAAAAAAGAGGGAGAAAAACCCGTGCGTGCCAGCTGCATTAGTACATGTCAGGCTGTCAAACCGAAGATTTCTAAAAGGAAAAATAAAAATAAATAAAAATAAAAGCTGTCAAAAAACAGGAGGCGCACAGTTTTGAACATCTCTGCACCGTCCATCTTGAATCCAACGGCTCACATTTAATCCATCTCTTCTCTCAGATCTTCGTCCTCAACGCAATTATCGATCCACTCTCTCTCTCTCGCAGAAGGAAGACAAAAACTCGAACACCAAATACTCCAACTCCTTCGGTTCCTTCTCCCTCGATTTCGATTCCGCCCTCTTGAACTCATAAGATCTAATCGTTCCTCTTTGTTTCTGGAATGGCGGTCGCCTCTTCCCCTCGCGAGGAGTTTGTTTACCTTGCTAAGCTTGCCGAGCAGGCCGAGCGCTACGAGGAGATGGTCGAGTTTATGGAAAAGGTCTCCGCCGCCGTAGACAACGAGGAGCTTACCGTCGAGGAGCGGAACCTTCTCTCTGTTGCTTACAAGAATGTTATTGGAGCGCGTAGAGCTTCCTGGAGGATTATTTCCTCCATTGAGCAGAAGGAGGAGAGCCGAGGGAACGATGATCATGTCTCGATCATCCGAGATTACAGATCCAAGATCGAGACTGAGCTGTCTAACATCTGCGATGGGATCCTTAATCTTCTTGACTCGCGCCTTATTCCCTCCGCTGCGTCCGGAGACTCCAAGGTGTTTTATCTCAAAATGAAGGGCGATTATCATAGATACCTGGCTGAATTCAAGACCGGAGCCAAGCGGAAGGAAGCTGCCGAAAGTACACTCACTGCTTATAAATCTGCTCAGGTTTGATTCCGTCTCTGTTTTACGATGCACCTATCATAATCAGTCGGTTTGTTAGGTATCTAATACTCGTTCTCTCATTCTTTCCAAGGGCTATTTGAATGTCGTGGAGTAGTTACCTTTAGGTCTCCCAGTCTTACTTGCAGTTTTCTCCCTTGGAGACATTTTAATCAACTAAGAAAATACTGCGTTGATCTTTACATACTTGATCAAATTTCCTGCGTTTATGAGATAATATTGTCTGTTTTGAGAAGAAACAAATCCATCAAAGTAGACTTCCATAGTCTTCCCTCTTTTGTCCCCCTTCGTTTTTCTTGAGCCTATTCTCTTTTGATACTTTCTTTTCAGTACAAATTTAATCATCTCTCGTAAAATCACGAGTTTTTCTGGGAAAGTGATTTCAATATGCTTAAAATTCGCTGCATCGAAAATCTTGGGAAGAGTTATGGGAAAATATGAACTTCAAATTGTTTTTGTAGCGATTCCTTTGCATTTAATGCGAGTTGCTTGTCAGTGAGGTTTAAGCTTCAAATTAAAATCATGATTGCATTAACCATATGCATACTCGGGCTACGAGTAGCTCTCTAATAAAGAAAAGTTACTGTTCTAATGGAGTGCAACTCTTACGTTTGCAGGATATTGCAAATACTGAACTTTCTCCTACTCACCCCATACGACTTGGGCTGGCTTTGAACTTCTCAGTGTTCTACTATGAGATTCTGAATTCCCCTGATCGGGCTTGCAGCCTTGCTAAACAGGTTTCACGATTGTTTTGCATCTCCCTTGCATCATGTCCTGAAGCTAATTTTTATTTCTTTCAATATTTGCAACCTAAAATTGGGTGTAACATTGTGCAAGTCAGTCGCTTTGGTATAGATTTTGGCTGATGTTTATTTTGGCTGATGTTTCAGCCAACCCATTCTTATATTTTTATTGTTTTGTTATAAACTGAACTGACCATGCCTGGAAATCAATCAATTTGACTGGAACAAAGTATAAAACCAAGTAAAAATGAATCAATCATAATCAACCAACGGACCATATTTGAACAGGTTGAGCTATTTTGGATTCTAAGTAGTGTGAAACTGAGCTGTTTTGGTTTTGGTCAATTTGCTCAGTTCTTTATTTTTCTTTTCTTTGGCTTCAATTTTCACCCCTACCTCTAACCATATATTTTCTGTTCTCAAGTCTGGAATGACACCATCTTTTTCCTTCAGTTGTAGTCTATAAGTCAGTTCAAATCACTTACCATCGTACTTCTCAGGCTTTCGATGAGGCAATTGCTGAGTTGGATACTCTGGGCGAGGAATCATACAAAGATAGCACTTTGATCATGCAACTTCTTCGTGACAACCTCACCCTATGGACTTCGGACATGCAGGTAATTAGTTCATGTTCTAAAATCTTTGTTAATTATCTGCTCCTGTGTCTTGACTATTGCCACTTTATATTTGCTACTGATGCACAAATTCTTTTCTGGGTTGTTATCAGGATGATGGAGATGACATCAAAGAAGCAGCTCCCAAACGCGATGACGAATAGTAATGAGCAAATCGATTTGCACGTGCAGGATTCAACTTCTCCTTAACATGTTTTATTCTGGAGAAGTGCTTGTTTGGAACTTTGGCTTTTCCATTGTTATCTAGGTATTTCTTAGCCTTATAATCATCACCACACTCTGGAAAAAACGTGCTCGTTTGTCTTTCCCCCGACCCCTCGTTTCTTTTTCTTCTATTGACCAATCAATTCCATGTCTCTGAATTGGCTTTTTTAATCCAATATAAATGCTACATGTTATTAAGCATCATGTAATTGATCTACCTTTCTTCGATACGGATCTTCCTCAAGTAATTATATGAACTTTCCCTATGATATCTGATTTGAATCCTGCTATATGTGATCGTGGCACATGTAGTTGTAGGGATTTATGTTGATTGGTGAATGGTGAGATGAAAGAAATTCCAATTGCAAAGAAATTGCTATCATAAATGCCTTAGTATTCAGTTTCTGCAGGCCTGCCTATGATTCTGTGAGGCTAATCTTTTCAGTGCTCAGTTGATATCTGCGGTCAGGTATGTTGTAAAAGCCTAGTTTAGAAGGGATTATTATTTAATTATAGTACACGTTTACACGTATTTTAAAATTCTTTACTCTTTCCAAACCAAATAATAATTTCGGTTACTCTTTCACTGATTTTCTTTTGATTGAAAATTATTTTTAAAGCCTATGAATGTTTATATATGTTTCAAATGCTTCTTAGGTCTTTAGTCTATTTAGGGGCACTTGTGATCTCATTAGAACAGGTTAGATCATCCATTTTTAAGAACTATTGATTAAGTAGACACAAACTTTAAAGTTTAGACTGTTTGTTTTTTTTTTTTAATCTTTCACCGTGTTGTCTTGAACACGATTCTCCACAATGGTATGATTTTGTCCCCTTTGAGCATAAGCTCTTATGACTTTGCTTTGGGCCTTGATTATAAACCCATGATCATTCCCTAAATTAGCCATGTGAGACTTTCATCATCCAACACCTCCCCTCAACAAAGTACGCCTCCTCTTAATTGAGGCTCGACTCCTTTGGAGTCTTAGTCATTGTTTACTGCCTTCGAGGAGGCTCGACTTTTTTTTTTTTTTGGAGTCCTTTGTTTGACATTTGAGGATTTACCAATCTATTGACACGACTAAGTTTAAGGCATGACTCTGATACCATATTAGACGAACACGACTCTCCATAATGGTATGATATTGTCCACTTTGAGCATGAGTTCGCTGTCTTTTTCCACTTATTTCTGGGACGGGTGGATATTTTCTTCCACTTATTTCTGGGACGGGTGGAAGTAGAAAATATTTGAAGTAAGAATATGATTACTACTTCCAAAAAGGAGGAATGGGAATGAAATTGTTGCAAATTCATCCAAAATTCATCTCCTACTTTGTAGTCAATTAATCAATCCAACTACAGTTGCTTTCGCCCACTTAACGTAGTGTCAAAGAAAGTAGAAAAGGTTGACGAATGCAATAAAATCCAAGAGATTTAAAAACAAAGTTCAAATGTCTCTAATGGTCCAAAAAATAAGAATAATATTCAAACTTCCACAGTAGAACATTAATGATTGCAACTCCCAGTTTTCTAATTCCACAAGAATGCCATTTGGGAGCTCTTTCTGTAGCAGCAAAAACCAGGTTTATGCATTCAAAACACACACACACACAACAGACCTCCTTACCATCTTCTTTACTTATTCTTCCTAAAGCTGAAACAAACTAAAGCACAATTTGGAACACACATTATTTACTATAAACCCATGTAACAGCAAAACAATTTGCAACAAGATCTCATCAAATTCGAAAACACAGGCTAAGCTTCGGGAAATGGCCCTAATCGTTACTAGACGAATCAAGTCCAACCGAGCCTTGCTCGATTTCACTGTTAGCAGGGTTGTTGAAGGAATAGAAAGCCATCTACGTGAGCTCGAGCCTATGCTTAAAATACTATGATTCCATCTCATTAACATGTAGGCAATATCAGGACTGTTGAGTATGAGCTCCAGCCACCAAATGACAAGGTCTTGTAAGGCAGATGAACAAAGCTTAGGCTAAAAAAGTGTCTCTTACATGTAATCTTATAGCATTTGAATGCTGTAAATGTAACCCTAAACCCTCAAAACACAAAGAACCAAAACCAAAAACAAAACAAAAAAGGTGTTCCAGGAGATTTACAGATCCAACTCCAGTTTCTGAACCAGTAGTGAAACTGAAACTCATTCCCAATTCACAAACTCATCATCATCCAAATTACCCTTCATCTTAACATGTATACCAAATAATCTAATAGTGAAAACAAAGAACCTGAGAGCTGTGAGGAACTACAAAGATTAACCAATTTCTCTTTTCAAACTTACCATATGCTGAAAGAAAACTCAGAGGCCTCTGCATCTGGGGCTGGGCACTGGCACAGTGGGCGACAATGGGAGCTGCGGATACCCCAACGGCCCCGGCGAAAACAGCAAGCTCGGCGACAGCAAAGGGTATGCTGATCTTGGTGAATTCATGCATCCGAATGGAAGAGGCGAAGAGGGCATCGAGAATTGAGGTTCTGAAGCCATTGCAGCCGTCGAAGGTGGAGGAGGAGGAGGAGTGGCCCCTTCCGCCATGGCCGGCGGTGGAACCTGTTGCTGTGCGGTCAAATTGTTCCAACCAGGCGAAACAAGAGGAGCTAGAGGTGAAAATCCCGAGAAATGTTTCTGATTAGAATCCAGAGTTGAAAATGAGTTGTGAAGATATCTCATATAAGCTGAAACCGGAGATTCAGCTGGCGCGTGGACGGCTGGAAGCGGTGGCAGAGGCGAAAGCGGTGCAATGGGCCGTCCAATGGGGCCGAAATTGTTAGCCGATGAAATGAAATTTCTAGGGTTCAGGCCATGTGGTGGTGGTTGTTGCGACTGTGGGATAGGAACGGCGCTGTTTATCATCGGAGGAGGACGATTACTGACGTTTGCAAGTGGAGGTGGTCGGATTCGCTGCAGGCGAGAGCTCTGAGGCTTCGGTGGATGAATCGGCGGTGGATTCGAGAACCGCTCATGCGCCGGCGATCCGGTGAGCTTCTGAACCACATCTCGGAAATCATTCTTGTTGATATTGTAAACCGGCGGCTGATTGTGCTGCGGTGGGTGTTGGGTTTGAGCCTGCACCGCCAATTCCGGCGGCGGCGGTTGAGAGAGACTCTGATTCTGAGTAAAATTAGGATTGGAATGGATAGAAGAATCAAACCCCCCGGGCTTCTTAACGAAACTAGGCTTGGAGATTTTGTGGGAAAGCTTATCGAGGTGCCTGAGATATTGGTCCCTGCCTGTGGCGGCCGCACTGCCGCCATTATTAGCGGCGGAGGAATCTCCCGTCACAGAAGATTGGCAGCTTTTCTCCATATTTCATAAAAAAAAAAACAAAAGCAAATCAAAACCCAGATGGCCGGACCACTCTTCTTGCTCTAAACACAACCGTAGATCTAATCTAATCCAACGTCTGTGAAATTGGACGATCTTGTTCTTGTTGTTCTTGTTGTTCTTGTTGTTGCAGTCGGCCGAAAGGGGAGGCAGAAGAAAATTTGAAGAATAAAATGAAAATATTTAGAGGTAAAAGATATCGTTGAGGCTCTCCAGAGTTCGCCCACCTGTACAAACACTCTCTATATCACGGAAACAGGAGAGAGAGAGAGAGAGAGAAAAGAGAACAAGTGGAGTCTCTTACTCTTATCTCATTTGCTTTGCCCCACCTACCAATAATTCTTATTAAATCATGTGTAATGTCATTTTGGCCACATCAATTTTCATATGTTTATGATTCTCTACCTGTTTAATGTGGTCATACATGAGAGATATAGGAAAATGTTGGTACCGAATTCGAATTCAAAATTATGTTTTGAATCTCGAACTTGTAGCAATAGTCCTAACAAATATTCTTCTTTGTGGGCTTTTTCTCAAGTGTTTTCTCTCTAGATTTTGTTTTAAAATGTACAGGAATGATTTGTTCTCTCCAACCGATGTGGAATCTCACAATCTATCCCTCTTGGGAGTCTAGCACTGTATGATGTGGAATCTCACAATCTATCGGGGGATCTAGCATCACTGTATGATGTGGAATCTCACAATCTATCAGGGGATCTAGCATCACTGTATGATGTGGAATCTCACAATCCACCTTGGGGTCTAGCGTTACTGTATTGATGTGGAATCTCACAATCCACTTCCCCTTGGGGTCTATCATCACTTTATAGACGTGGAATTCCACAATCCACCTCCCTTTGGGGGTCTAATATCACTGTACCGATGTGGAATCTCACAATCCACCTCCCCCTTGGGGGTCTAGCATCACTGTGCCGATGTGGAATCTTACAATTCACCTGCCCTTGGGGTCTAGCATCACTGTACCGATGTGGAATCTCACAATCCACCTCCCCTTTGGGGGTCTAGCATCACTGTTGGCACATCGTCCGATGTCGGGCTCTAATATCATTTGTAACGACCCAAGCTTAATATTGTCCCATTTCAGCTTTCTTTCTTTTAAAATGAGGTTATTAAGGAGAGGTTTATACGCTCTTATGAGTAATGCTTCATTCTCCCCTCCAACTGATGTAGTAGAATCTTACGGAACATGGAACATGATCATAAGAGGTTAGTCTCATCTCAATTCCTATTCTTTTAATAAATTTTAGAAATAATTATAATTATTCATGTTGGGGCATAAAGGACAAGAACGAGGTTTGGAATTAAATTAAAAAATTAAAGTATTGGAAATGAAGAATTCGTGTCATTAGATAAGCATGAAGGAATCTGTAACGTTTTCTATATTTTAATAATATTTATATTTATTGGTTGCTTAAGCAAATATAGAACGTTCGTGAATTACACAAATTTTGTTTTCTAATTAATATTCTTCTTTATTTCTCTTCGTTTAAGAAACGATCATTTTTTAATATCATTAATTTTATTTATTATTATTTAAATTATCATATTCTCTATTTCTATAATTGCCATTTTTTTGTTAAAGAATAATTATTACATTCTTATTTGGCTAATATACGATTTGGTTCGTGGGTGAGAACAAATAACCACTTATATTTAAATAGAATATATAATTTTTTTTTTATAATTACTTAATTTTAAAGTGTACGATAAATATGTGTGTGTCTACCTTCACCAAATGAATTAAATTCGGTTGAATTATACTACCATATTTAATTTCATAAGTAACGATGCATTTCTATTTAAAAAATTGAATTATAAATGCAAAATAATAATAATAATGGAAAATATAATTAAAAATGATTTTAATACCAAGACCATATAACTGGGTGAAGGTGTCTTAAAAAGAAAAAATTATTTGAATAATAAACTAGACTATGAGTTTGTTATGTGTATATCTTGACAAAAAAAAAAAAAAAAAAAAA